TTTACAGTTGCAAATTGTATAAATGTCTAATTTTTACTGTCTTAACTATAGTTAATCAAGGCTTTTTGTCTGTGTATAAATAAATAAATAAATAAATATGAGACACATGCACAAATAAATATACATTTGAGGAATTAACTATACTAATAATAAATTATTTAGCTGTTACTATATCAAGCACTTTCCTTATTACTAACACTTGTGTGTATGTATATATATATATATATATATATATATATATATATAATAAAGTTTTCAGATAGCATTTCTGTAAAGGAACAAAATGAATAAACTAAACTATTCTTAGACAACGTTTTGACCTTCAAGTGATTTTATCAAAGCAAATGTAAGGATTTATTGTTGCATGTGTTTATTAAAAAAAAAAAAAAAATCTTAAATATTATTCACTTTTTCTTTACCAGATTTTGACTTCTTGTGTCCTTTACATGTTTTGATTAACCTTTCAACCACCTGATGAATACTCATGAGCATCCTCAAATTTAAAAGCCTTAATAAACCAATGACATCCTTGCTCCTGTATATAAACACATGCAACAAAATAAAATCCTTACATTTGCCTTGATAAAGTTCATCAGAGGACAAAACTTGTTGGCTAAGAATAGTTTTTTTTATAGTCTTTCTATTCATACATACATTTCAAACATGAATTAGAATCTCACAGAATCATAATAAACATTTATTTGTTCTTTATCCTATCCAATCATATATATATATATATATATATATATATATATATATTTATATATATAATGTTTTTAATGTTTATACGTTCTTTTTATAGATACAAATATTTAAGTAGATGCTCTGTTTATAATAAACAGTATTAATAACATTTACCGGCCTGAATGTCAGAAATTTTCATAGAAAATATGCGTCCTTCAGCAGGAATCGAACCTGTATCCTATACGGAACCATTATATAGCCTGATGTGCCTTAACCATTTGGGCCACAGAGGAGCGTTTGGTTAGCAAGGTTGATGTTACTGTTTTTAAACACAATTCTCCATGATTTTCTCTCATTCATTCATGTCTGCTATGTTATTAATACTGTTTATTATAAATATTTGTATCTATAAAAAGAACGTATAATATATATATATATATATATATATATATATATATATATATATATATGAAAAAAGATTCTTTTTTTAGTTGTTATACAGAACTCATGAGATTGACAGTATCATATCACCCTTTGTGGTGTCACTGAAAGTGAAGACTAAGAATAGTGAGGAGTAATGAAAAGACAAAAGATGAATGAGATTCAAAAAGACAGAAGATGGTGATTAATGTTGCATCTAAATTTCAAGATTGTAGTTATCAGAGAAGCAAGGAAATGGAAGGGAGTTCCACATGTGGGAAGTGTGAGAAAAGACTGGAGTAAAAGTGGTGGTTGCATTTAGCTATTTCAACAGTAAAGGGGTGGGACCTAGATGCCAATTCATGTATTTGTGACACTGGGGAAAGGTGAAGCTTGTTAGAGCAGTTGACTTGAAAATATTTTGTAGAAAAGAGACACATGTCAGTGAGGAAGTGACTGAAGTTGAGATGCCTCATCAGGGTCGATTACATTACAGATCCTTCTTTGGATTTTGTCAAGAAATCTCTAGATGTTCAGCAAGAGCACCAGATCAGATCTGGTAACAGTGTTCAATGTACGGACAAATGGTAGATTTGTAAATGTGCAAGATAGTTTCTGACCAGAATTTTCTGGCACAACACAGTAGCTTAACTTTCCTTGTAGTAGATACATCTACTGAATCAATATTGTTGCTCCACTTCAAGTTGGTGGAAAACATGTGGACAAGAATACGTTATGTGTACTGTCTGAATAATAAATACTGCCAATAAATACTTCTGTCAAATCTATGCTTTAAATAACAAAAAAACGTAATAGAAATAAGAAATATCCATTTTGGCAATCTCTAAAAGTTTTAAACTTCCTGAGTTTTTCTGGGCTCCTGCCAATTTCAGTTGATATTTATATTGGCAACCATTTTTCTTTTCTATATTTCATTAAATGATTTATTTGTAAGCAAGAAATTCTTGTTTGTATTATCTGCTGTTTGATTCTAGGTATGGTAATGTTGGTAACTATATAACAATAAAAAACGTGCATATTATTCTGTGCATCCAAGTGATGCTGGGAGGTCGTACACAAAAATGTTTTCATTAAATAACTTCAAGTTTTATATGTATGACTTGAATTCCATTCTGTGGAAGGCCTAAATGTAGTTTATAGGTTATTGTTGTTTTTTTTATTTTATTTATCCTGTTTGATGTGAAAATCATAAACTTTTAGATTACATTTCATTTCAGTGTTTGAGATTTTTTTTTTTTTTTTTTTTTTTTTTTTGGTGGGTGGGGTGCAATTACAAGTATCCATATTTTGGGAGGGATTTTTCTTTTAATTCCTGCAGCAGTAAATTCACTCTGAATTATTTTTGTGAGGACTTGTAATAAACATTGTCAAGAGGTTAATATTTATAGAACCTGGTCTTAGTTAACGTTTACAGCCATTACTTGTGCTATAAATGCCCCCCCATAATATATATATATATATATATATATATATAATAATTTTTTTTTTTTTTTTTTTTTTTAAACCTTTTTGACCACGTTTTTTAAAGTTCTATGTTCTTTCAGGGCGTGGATGTCTTTACAACACAACTTTCTATTTTTGTAGCTCTAAGCAATGTTTGTCCCCTTATATCCCTATCATAACTATGGCCATATAGCCAAGTTGTAAGAACATTTGTAAATTGAACCCTTGCTAGAAACTTGTAATGGTTTGGATATTTCAAAACTTGTTAAAAAAACAATGTTCTCTGGGCACCCATTGATGGCTAGATGAAATTTGTGGGGAATGTAGCTGTTGTTTTAAGATGGCAGATTGATGGATTTATTGAATTCTTGTCAGATTTTCCAGAAGATATTTGTGGGGAAATAATTTTTTTTGTTTTTATTATTTTACCCCAAGCAAGGCATCAAAGCCACTAGTACACAAGGGGTTACTGTGTGTTAGAGAATCTGAGGGAAAAAAAAATGATTATGGAGCATACACAATAAAAGTACAGGAATCAAGAGAGAAGATAATGATTGACATTGCATTTAAATTTTAGAAAACCATTGAATATCAGAGACAGGAAAGTGAGGAAGGGCTGCAAACTATCGAAGAAGAGTTGCTTCCTCCTCGAGCCTCAGTCTTAAATTTAAAATAAAGTAAATATGCAGAAAATAACATTACAGTTTAACTTAACGCTTGTCACTTAAGAAGAATCTTAATGTAATAATATCCAGAATCCGGCACTGCCCACCCCAAAATTCAGCAGACTGTCATTTTTACCATTTTTAGCTTGACTAGCAGTTGTTTGTATTCCTGAAGATCAACAATTTGTTCCAAAAGATTTATGAAACTTTTAAACAAAGAAAAAATGTTTTTGTAGCTGTTTATTCAAAAATCTTATACTTGGTGCGTCAGTGTTTTAGTTTCATGTAGAAAGGAGTGGTCGGAAAAGTAAAATAAAAATTTACATTGCTGTGGAACATTATGAAAATATTTTTCTTAATTTGCTTAGTTCACAAAGATGAGTTGGAAAAAATTTAAATACAGATTTTTAGTTAGAAATGTTAATATTTATTGAAATATTTGTAACCTCTCTTGAACTTTCACTGCTTGATTGTTATGTTTATATAAAATTTTTCTGTTTACTGTTATTAACAATTTAAATTGTGTATGCATTAGCAGAAATAAACAGTCTTGTTTTAGACATTTTCTAAAATGGTTTTCATGTCTGCTCTTTAAAAATGAGCTTCCATATTCTTTATTATTATAGAGAAGAAAAAAAACAACTTTTTTAAATATAAAGAATAGGCATTTAAACACAACTGGTTTTCAATGTTTACACAATGAAAAGGAACTTAAAAATAATCTTTAATCTCCTAACTATGGACATGTGCGACAATGTGCATCTAATAATCATTCGCTGATTGATGGTAGCAGCAGAGTTCATTCACCACAAATTCAGTATGATGCACTAGAAAATCTTGTGTTCTTGGCATTTTTGTAACCCAAACTTGTAAAAGAGGCCAAAGCAGAAAGGTGCCTGTGGGAGTTTCAAGAATTTTGTTTTGAAATTTTCACTGTATGTTTAATCTGTCATTATGTCACCTGAATTAAGTGCATTGACAAGGAGCTTGTTTATCTGTAAAATAAATGCCTCATTTTTTTTTTTTTTTTCCTCTCTCTCTTATCAGAGTAAAAGCTTAATATACATACATATTCTCATAGAAATTTTATTTTATATTTCTTTTTTCTTATTGAGTGTATATATATATATATATATATATATATATATATATATATAATATATATATATATATATTATACACACACACACTTTTAAATGGAAAAGTTTCGTTGAAAATAAATTTGATTACATGTTTTGCCTTCCTTTCAAGGCTTCATCAGATAAAAAATGGAAGAAATTGTGTGTCTATACTTAAATAATGAATCATCATACTTTCTCCCTAAGCTGCTGTTTCTTGTGATTAAAGAAAAAAAAAAAAATGACTGACTTTTTTAAAAAAGTCATTAATATTTATTGTATTTTTCCTTTATACCTCTTAGTTCATATTGAAAATTAATATAATTTTTTTCCTAGCTTTTTTTGTATCGTATTAAAGGTAAAACCTCATCACATTTTTAGAATTGCTTGAAAGCAAGAAAATCATTTGGCTTTTCTGAAATAAATTCAAGGCAAATCCTCATCCAAACCTTCAGAATGGGTTGAAAGTAAAAGATTTATTATATATTTCTATCCATTTGTCAAATTCCTTAAAAACTTTGTCAGGATTCTATATCCTATTTTAAACACACACACACACACACACACACACACACACACATCGTCTGTCTGGACTATTTTTTTTTTTTTTTTTTAATATGCCTAATTTTCTTTTTTCTTCTATTTCCAGCTCATTTTTCTCCATGGGTTAGGAGACACAGGGTGAGTTACTTTCTCTTCTGACTGTCCCATTTTGCATTTTCGTAATTAGCTTCAAATTATCATAAATAGCTGAATCAACCAACCATATATGACCTTGCTTTTGACAGAGATGAAATTATGCTATCCTTTTTAATTCTTTTGTGTGTATTTCTTGGATACTTATTGGTTCCTAAGGCATTAAACACACAGCACATGCAACTGAATTTGTCATTGAATCTACACTTTTAACCGATTATGACCCAACACCAAATTCATCATATATACGGATCCATTTAATTTATCCTAGCTGTTTTGTTTCCCTTTTGGTCTCGATGTAATTCACTGAATGACAAATGTTTCTGATAAGTGAAACCAAAATAAGTTTCCATTTCATTTCTATATATGGTCAGTCAAAAAGTAATTCCTGTTTAATTACAATGGAATTAATAGAGCATACCAAAACAAATGCAAGTCTCTTAGGATTTTAAAATCTAGTCCTCAACATAAACTTTGTTTTGGAGCATTGCATTCCACCTTTTTGAAAGTGGTTACTTATTTCCTCATTGGTTGCTTTCTTAGCCATGTTCAAATTGGCACTTTTGCTTGCTGGAAAACTGTTTCTCTGTGAGTGCTTCATGGACCCAAATCCATGTTCTCAACCTTTTTTAAGCAACAGCACATCTAAGAGCAAATGAAAATATCACAGCATACTTAGCAAAATTTTTATTTTTTAATTTAAATGTTACAAAATAAAACCATAGATTTAAAAAAGAAATACACACATAAATATGAACTTTCATTTTATTTCAATGTTTCTATTCAGCAATTTGTGCAGCTTATTTAGTATGAAACCTGTGCCTGGTGTTTTTTCGAGATTTCTTCAATATTTGGTCAAATGTGCGATAAGCAGACCCTCATTTCTTCTTCAGTTGTGCATAGTCTTTCTTGCTTCTTATTTTTGATGTTATTTAGGGTTGAGAAGTCTAATTCACATAAATAAGTAGAACATTGTAACAAAACAGATAAAGCCTTTTTAGCTAATGGGAAGCTTTGACGGTGCAGAGACCTGCAAAATCATAGGTATATATTTGCTACATGAACTAAGCAAAATAATGGATAAAGATGATACAGGACTATACAGGGTTGACGGTTTCATAATTTTGAACTATAACAAACAAAATGCAGACAAAACGAGAAAAACAATAAGGATCTTCAAAAATAACTGATTTGAAACAAAATTTGATATAAAAACAAACATAAACGAAGTAGATTTTCTAGATGTTACCTTCAACCTAAGAAAAGGCAAATATAAAAACCAATGATAAACCACTGTATATACATGCATCTTCCAATCACCCACATTCAATAATCAAATACCAAAATCGATTAACCACAGGCTTTCTGACAATTCTTCCAATGAAACCATATTTAATGAAGCTAAGAAAGACTATGAAACAGCCCTAAAAGATAGTGGATTCCCAGCAACACTCACATACTCAACACAGAGCACAAAAAAGGCCAACAGGAAGAGAAATATATGGTCCAACCCACCGTACGGCAAAAACATAAAAACAAATAGAGGAAAAATATTCTTTAAATTCTTATACAAACACTTCCTGGAATGAAGTACTCACAAAATATTCAACAAAAACACTGTAAAAATCAGCTACAGTTGCACCGAGAACATGGCACAAATAATAAAAAAAAGAACAAGAAAACTATCAACAAACTACCCGAACAAACTAAACTCATGTGTAACTGTAGAATAAAGAATGAATGTCCCTTAAATGGTAATTGCTTACAAAGCAATGTATTATATCATGGTAAAATCACCAAATAATTAAGGAGTAACTGAAGGACCCAGGAAACAAAGAAACTATAACTATGCACACAAAACATCTTTAGAATAAATGAAAATAAAAATAAATACATAAAAAAAAAAAAATAACCAATCCAAATAAATAAAGCAAATAGTAAACAAATTAACAAACAAATCCCGCCAAAATAACTGTTAGAATATACTACAAGAATCAATTCCAAAATTGGAAGAAAAAATAGCCATAACTGCTATATAACAGTAAAAAATTACTATGTCACTTAAAAATCGAAAAGTAAATAAAAAAAAAAATACAAACGAAGAAATGAAAAATAACTAAATAAGAAAAAACAAGTAAAATAAATTAATCCAAATAATTGAACAAATTAACAAATCACAAAATAAAAAAACTACCCAACCCTGAAAATAACAGAATAGACTACAGCAATCAATCCCAAAATTGGATGAATAAATAGCTTTAGTTATCTTCCTAGACCAAAACAAAGTATTAAATAAGTTACATAAGCAAATCCCCCTACGATTTTTTACTACATTAATAAAACATTGAAAAGAATAAATAAATAAATATGTAAAATAAAAAATATAAATTAAAAACAAGTAAAATAACCCAAATAAATAAACAAACCACTCCTGCCAAAATAACTGCCAGAATGGACTACTCAAAATGCACCACTGACCCATATAAATAAATAGTTGAGAAAAAACCCAACACTCACGGCCTGATGATTGCATCTAGCAGGAAATAGCTTGTTGACTCTGAGTGTCAACTTCAATGTTCACTTTTATATTTACATACACTCTATCTCTGATATTGTGCACTTTATCCCATAAATATAGCACACATTTTTATATATATATATATATATATAATAAAAATCCTACAATATGAAAGGATAAAGAACAAGTAGGAAACAGATCTTAATCTAACGTGTTTCACTTTCTTAAAGCGTTGTCAGAAACTAAGATAGAAATGATAAAAAACGGATACAATAAGAAATTGCCAAACACAACATACCGCATCTCTTTGCTTTTCTTTTCAATCTTGATCTCTGAAGCTACTTGTCCTGTACCTATATATATATATATATATATATATATATATATATATATATATATATATATATAAATATAAAAAGAGATGGTGATTAACTTTTATTGTAGGTTTGATGCTGGTTTTTTTTTTTTTTTTTTTTAAACTATTTAGATATGAATATTTATATTATATTTTAACTCTACCTTTTTACAACTTGAAGTAAATTTGTGTTTTTCATATAAAATTCATTTCTGTATTTTTTAGTTATATATTATATATATATATATATATTTATATATATACACTCGTATCTGACATGAAATAGCCCTAGAAATGTTGCTGTCAAATTTAACCGACCTGGTATTCTAAACACTTGATGGTTTATAGCTTTAAAACAGAAATTATTCTTATTTACATCCAGTCTATTGTCCTCATCTTTGTCGAAAATTAAGATTTAAGATTACAATAGGCTCTAAAGTGACCATCCTCATAATTTATAAACTTGTAATTTCTAGCCTTTTTGCATGATGAGCACATTAAGTAGGCCAGAGAGTACAACTCATACGAGTATACTTGATTGACTAGAAAGGAATTTCAGAATTCCTCTCATAAAAAATTAAAATTTTTTTTTTTTTTTTTTTTGTGTGTGCATGCATACCATATGAATACCTTCAATAATACACAAATTATGTAAGCATAAGAATAATTAGATATTTTTTGTTTCCAGACATTAGTTTTCTTTAAGCATTACATTTGAATTATTTTCTAATGTTAACTTCTAAGTCACTAATAACTATTTAAATATTTGTCTGGCAATTAAAATACTCTGGTAATGGTAGATAAAGATATATTTAACTTTAAATGTTACTGGAGGCTGGATTCTTTTGTAAAAATTTGAGAGCTTCATTTCTAATTAGACAAAATGTCATTATGTACACTAAATGTGTATTTTTTTATTTTTCTGGGTGTAATTTGTAATATGAAAAAGCTTAATGTTATCTTTTATTTTAGGGAGTATAAAGTGTTATATAGGAACGAAGTGTCACTGCTGACACTGGAGTTTGAACACAAATCACAAGAGAGCAAACACGGGTGATCCCATTTTGAATAAGTAGATCATGTGATGGTAAAAGAAATGTATATATGGGAATTAGCATGGAGTCTATGTGATCACTATATGGATTAATATTTGGACCACTATTTGGTTGTTACTTTTCAAGTGAGTATTATCGAGCAAGTACTATTAGTGTTATCCGAAGGCTTCTGACACCAGTATTGTTCAACAGCATTACTATAGTAGTATCTGCGATTACAAAGCCTCTACTACAATGAGTATTACAAAAGTGATGGGTTATTGTTGACATTATGAAAGTGGCAACAAGTGTTTGTTGACATCACAAAATAAAGGATTATATATATATATATATATATATATATATATATATATATATATATATAAAAAATAATATTCCTCACCGTTTATTACAACCGAGTTTCATGCATAAGGTAATTGTTGTATGCAGATTGAAAACTGAGATTTGTAAAATTTAAATATTTAAAACGGACTGTTAATAGTGGAGCAGTCCTCTTTATTTATGGGTAGAAAAATATTTATAAAAAAAAAAAATGGATAAACTAACAAATAGATTAAAAAAAAAAAATATCTGATGATTGCCTTGTGTTGTCTGTTTTTGATTTTGTCAACTGCACAGTAATGTAGGGTTAGTTGGGCACCATATTTGAGAAAAAGAGCACTATAACACAATTCACTCCACCAGAAATTTGGAAACGACCTGCTGTACTGCTTGGCATTTGTGCCAGAAGCTAATGGTGGTTATGAAGGTACAACAGCTCAGGGGAAACTCGCTTTGATTGCTCTGATAAGAAAAAAAAAAAAACTCTGAATTTGTTGGTGAGGGCCTAAGACTCAACACAGAGGACTGCATCAAGTGCCTTGAAGAGGTAGTCCTTCCCTGTGTTAAGAGGGTGGCTACTGGAAGACCCTATGTCTGGCAACAGGACTCTGCACCATGCCACACAAACAGGAGAACCCAATTATGGCTGTCAGACAATTTCTGTAACCACATCACCCCTTACATCTGGCCACCTAACTCCTCACACTGCAACCCCCTTGATTATGTGTGGGGTAGA